TGCCACCTAAATGGTCACTGACATTGATTACTTCCGATAATGTTGTGTCATCCATAAACATCGCTACGTCCTGGTCTTCTACGGCATTACATATTTGATCTTGGTTATTGGGTATAATACACGTTGGTAATTGGTTTATTTTTATTATCAACGCAATAGGACCCAACTTACTCCCTTGTGGAACGCCTCCCTTGATTCTTTTACAATCAGACTGTTCTCCATGGAAAGACGTTACTTGTGATCTGTTATAAAGATATGATGCAAACCAACCAACCACAGCTGGACGAACGCCGATTTGCATAAAATTTTCTAGCAGCACATTATGATTGATCAAGTCAAATGCCTTTCGAAAATCAAGAAACGTAATACGAACAATTCTTTGGGGGCTTTCCATTGCCATATCATTATGCCATTTATGTAACAAATAAATCAACGCATGTATTGTAGATGTTCCAGGCAGACCGCCAAATTGACTGCTACTGATTTTATCATAAACATCCTCATAAATCCAATCATTAACGTATGATTCTTGTACCTTTGATAATGTACTCGTTAATGAAATAGGTCTTAAAAGGTCTACCCTAGAGCAGGGTTTACTTTTAGGAATCCCACACACCCTCGAAATTTTCCAAATATCTGGGAATACTCTGCAAGTAAATGATTCGTTAAAGATGTAACATAACGGCTCGGCGAAGTATTTTGCGAATGTTTTTATTATCTTTACATTCGGGTCGAACGGACCGCTTGCTTTATTCGGGTTAAGTTTACTTAACTTATTTGCTACACTACCTGCGGTGATGTTCGGTAGTTGTTCTTCCATTCCAACATTAAACCAGCTATCATGTACTTCCGAGTAATTACTAGTAAGACTAGTAAAATATTCGTTCATCAGATTAGCTGTGTCTTTTGAATTTAGTGGGGTATCAGACTGTGGGCCATTTAGAATAAATTCCTGTTTACTCTGTCCAGTATTGTTTTTTTATATTTTTCCACCACTGCTTTGAATTGGAACAACGAGCAGGTTTGATTTTTTCCCTGTAATATTTCTGCTTCTCTTTCCGAATTTCTGAGGTAATTTTATTACGAAGCGATCTGTATTCTTCCATTCTCCCACGTTGGTACATTTTATTTCTGTTAGATATAATTTGTTTAATCCTCCCAGTCATAAAGGGTTTGTCATCTTTATGGACCTTGACAATTTTTGTTGGAAAACAGTTATCAATCATTGCATTAGTAATCGATAAAAAGGCGTTCACTTTGGTGTTAATACACGAGGCCTCGTAAACCGCTGACCACGTCTCTAGACCGATACAGTCTTCAAACAAGCGCGACCTCGTTTCTTTAATGGGTCTCACTGTAATCTTTTTTATCTCATTTTTACCTCGAGCTTGTTCTTTCGATTTCCACATAATAGCGCTGTGGTCTGAACAGCCAATCGGTACCAGAGATACTGGTGTTTCATAAAACGAATGTGCATTGGTGAGGATTAAGTCTAGAATTGCGTTACCTCTGGTTGGTGTTATATCCTCGTCGTGCGTTAATAATATACCTGTCCAATAATAAGCCCATGGACACGGAGGGGCTTATATTCGGGGGAGGGGCTTATATTCGGGGGAGGGGCTTATATTCGGAATGGCCTGCATGGGCGTTAGTGAAAAGGGTGGGCTTGTACTCGGGAAGGGGGGAGGGGGGGCTTGATACTGAAAAGAAAAATGCGTTCCTCTGAAGTGGCTATATTAATTTAACCACAGACAGATTCGCCGCCTATATATTGTTCAATTTATAGTGCTACGTATTCACTTTAGTACAGCAACACGGTGTGTTATCCTTCAGAAATTAGAATATCTATTTAGCAAAGTTCGACAAGAAGAAGATTAAAAAATCCTTGTAATTCTGAGCATTTTTCGTTTACCACGTATGGGGGACACTATATATCCGCTAGCTGTGACACCGCGGCTATACGAAATAATCGGACGATTATTGTTATCTTGCCAGTCATGCACTATAGTTCCACTGTGCGTTGCATTCTATCATTTTATTTGCATTTTTCCTTATAAGGGGCTGATTACATGGAGCGATTCAGCCCTGCTTTAACGAGACTCCGCCCGGGCTGAAATTCTTGCCATGTAATCACTTCAGCTCGGGTTGAAACTCCTTTCGCGTGTTAATTTCGTATTTCCCGCGACGCCTGCGATAAATTTACCCCGGCTAAATCAGATTGGAAATGCCCATGTAATCGTCAAAACTTTCAGCCCCGGTAGCCGGGCTGAAATCGCTCCATGTGCTGTAATCAGCCCCTAAAACAACAGAAATGAGTATAAACTCGTGGAGTATAAAGCCTGGTTTCCATATTGTCGGAACGGTCGTAAAGATTGAGTCACGATCTTTCTCGTCAGCCGCGAAATACTATATTTTAAAACTGACAATACGGAGTGATTATTTAACGATTATTCGCCGAAGGCGAGGTGATTATCGGTGAATAAAAACCGAGACGAAGTCGAGGTTTTTATTCACGATAATCACCGAGCCTGAGGTGAATGATTGTTTTAGTATAATTTTGAGCCTGAGGTGAATAATTATTTTAGTATAATTGGCTCCCCGTGACAGCTGGGGTCCCCCAAGGGACAAAACTAGGCCCTATTTTATTCCTTGTCATGATTAATGATTTGAAGATAAGCTGACCTGATACAAAAATGTGGAAGTTTGTAGATGATAGCACGGTGTCCGAACACCTTACTGGGAATATATCGTCAGTAACTCAACGAACCCTTAACCTCATCCAATCATGGTGTTCCAACAATTGGATGATTCTTAACCCAATAAAATGCAAGGAACTTAGAATATGTTACCTTAAAAGATCCGTCGAATTCCAACCCTTAATAATCGCAGGACGCGAACTAGAAATAGTTCAATCCCACAAAGCATTAGGCCTAACCATTCATAATAATCTGAAATGGGACGAATATATTCGATCCATAATCGCGAAAGGTTCCAAACGCTTGCACATCCTCAGAATTTTGCGACGGAGCGGTATTCTACCAGCTCACCTCACTAAAAAATATTCCGCCCTGATTCGTTCGATTTTGGAATATAGTTGCGAAGTTTGGAGTAATTCGTTGCCCCAATATCATTCTGATGAATTGGAAAGACTGCAAAAACGAGTAATGCGTATCATATTTCCTGGCCATCCCTACGACGAAGCATTGGTGATGGCGGGTTGCGAAAGATATTAGATAATAGACGAAACACAATCTGCATAAAAACTTTGAGCAAACTTATTAAACATGCCCCCCTAAAGGAATACGTGTTGCAAACCAGAGCAACTGCTCACCAATACAACTGCTCACCAATACATGACTTGTGTAGAACAGAACGCTTCAAAAATAGCTTCTTCCCAAGCACAATTGCAAAGATAAATAAGTAAATACAAGTAGCCAACTCTCCAATCGCTTTCTTATTCCATTTTAAAATAACTTCTAGCATACCTTTTTATATACCCCTATGTACAATGTAAAATATTTCTTCTTTTTAACTTTCTTAAATTTATAAACACTTTGTAATTCAAATCTTATTTGCGATAAAAGTGTAAATAAACCATCAAGGATAATAATAATAATGGAAGCTTTATTAATGAATTTTTAAAGTTTTTTTTAAGTTAATCTACTCGAATCAATAATAACTATACATACACAATATAACAATAATAACAAACAACAAATATATAGTACAATTTTTAAAAGGTTAATAGTTCCGGATTTGTCCATTCTTTGTTTCTGCAGCAAAATATATAGTAAATTGTTCTGATCGCAATCGTCGTCATTCGTTTAAAGCAGTATTTTTGGTGGTTTTTATCGAAGCCAAGATCATTAAGCATGTCCATGAAAGTCAAGCATTCTTTCTGCAAAAACTCCAAGACTGCTAATTGAAATATTTATAAATTTGACGTTCTCGGAATACTCGCTTGGTTCCCCTAATCAATTCTGAGTATTTGGCCTTTTTGCGTTGAACATTCTTTTCGAGATTAGACTCGTACCCAACAGTTAGTCTCTTAGGCGATTATCGCGTTTTATTATATAAAGTATAGTGCTTTATGTACTATTTAAAAAACGAGCAGGAGTGTTTTATTAGGTTTACGAGCGCGCAGCGCGAGTGGCTTTAGACCTAATAAAACACGTCCTGCGAGTTTTTTTAAATGGCTTCAAAAACGTTTGCATAATAAGTCAAATCTTTATATAAAAATCTTTATATAAAAATCTTTATATAAAAATCTTTATATAAAAATCTTTATATAGTTTGCATAACAATGGTCTTTTGTTAAAGTGTTCTTTAGCTGGTATAAAGACGTATGCACGTGACTAATTTCTTACTCAAGATTGGATAATTGCTTCATGAATTATTAATGAGTTTTTGAAAGAGATTTCGAGCACTGATAAAAGTATAATCTCACATGTGAGATTATTTATGATAATCTCGATCACATGTGAAAATTATCACTTTTCAATTATCGCTTTTCTGTAAAAATCATCGCTTTTCAAAGACTGTCCTTTATTTAGTAAACAGAAAAATACATGGGTGCTTGGAAATACCAGATTTATTTCTCGTGTTCCCACTCGAAATAAATCTGGTATTTCCGCGCATCCATGTATTATTCTCTATATAATCACCTCAACGGCAACCAATCAGCGTGGAGAATTTTCAATAATCACCTATGTAATTATACTAAAACTAGGTTTATTTCGTAATAAACTATTATAAACTGGCCGTTACGACCATATGGAAATCAGGCTTTAACTGTGAGGTACAGTATTTATCGAAGTTCTAGTTGAATATGAAAATTGATATTACGGAAAAGAAAAAGTATAAAGAAAATACGTTATGTTAAAAGTTAAAATTGTCCTTCAGTAGCTTATTAATATAGTAAGCAAGTAAGCTTTCAAAATATTTCATAAATTGAAACCAATTGACTTGAGATAACATTGGAATGAGAAATTTAACGATGATCCATGGTAAAGTTGGAATATGAACCTTGACGTTAGTCTCCTCATACAGATCATTTAAAAATGGCCAATTAATCCGCTTTGCCAATTATTTGTCGATTAATCAGCCCATGTTTCTCAGCTTGTTGATGGTCATGTGCATGCAGTAGTGGTGTATTTTTAGGACTCAAATTCTTATTGCTGGCCAGAATGACTGTTTTTACTGTAAAGATTATATTCTATAAAGATTATATTCATATTGTACTTGATGTCAAGATTAACATGGGTAGTATGCAACCTAATGTTGTCTTGTCATTCTTTTCGCCATTGTCTAGAACTTTTGTTATCTCATTAATCATTAGCTCTCAAATTCGCTGTTATCCTATTGCCAGAATACCGAAATGTGAAATCGATCACGCAAGCTTGTAATGGAACAGTTCTAATATGCAAAATTGCCAGAGTATATATACTGTTAGTTTTTACTTCATTTGAAGAGATTATGTTAAGCTGTGAGCCAAATATTAACAAGCTTTCGTTCGTAGCTGAAAAATATGAGATGTGAAAGATATTTTTCAGGTAGTTGCATCCCTACCTACGAAAGCTTAATATTATTGGCACTATACTTACACTGGGACAGACAGTTCAAGATATTATGTAAGCCAAATACCATATTTGGATGCCCAAATTGTAGATTCGGTTAATGCCCTGTCTTTATTATTTTCAAACACTCAACCTTCTTTTCAGCAAAACAATTTGTTTTGGCGTAAGATGAAAATTAACCACTATTGAGCATGATTGTGAAGCTTTCCTATTGCTACTGTCTCTAATGCCAGATAATACTCCCCTCCGAAAAGTACGTCACTTTGACTATAGAACCTCGTTTTCGTGTATGTGATATCAGTTAAACCTGAACTTCTCAATCACGGAAGCGATGCTACATAGCCAAGGTGACATACTTTCTGGAAGCGTGTATTATATTGTTTTACATTTTAGGTGGTGTTGGCCTGGGTATTGGCTATGCGTTTGGGGTGATCAGGAAGAAGAATGTCTACGTTTATAGTTTATCAACTGGCTTGAACTTTTTTATTGTACCACTTGTATTCTTTGGTAAGATATTGCTCTGTTAATTAAGCAATCATTGTTACGTAAGGGTATTGAACAGTGTAATTTATCAAAAAAGGAAGAACCTCCAGGTTGGGTTCATTTTTAGCAGCAGACCTGTCAACTCACTTAGTGCTGCCGGTTTTTACCTTTTTTCAATTTCTCTCCGTATGAAGAAGATATTTTCTACGCTTGCTTTTTCTTGTTTTAATTGTTTGCAAGTATTGGAGATTTTCCAGATTCAAGAATCTAGCAAAAACGTAAATCGAAACCGTAGACTATAAGTGTTTAACTTTTTAGCCATTTTTGTACCATAATAAGCGATATGTATGTTAGCTTAGGGATGCCAGAAGGTGGAATATGAGAGGTAACATTTTGCTTTATCAAAAACTGCAAATGCCTTTGGTTTTGCAAGTGAAAGTTTTTCCCCTGTGTTAAAATTTTTGGGTTGACGGGTCTGAGTAGCTGTAGCTTGGTAATTGTCGCTGGCTAGAGTCCGAGAAATGTACATAATTATATGGATTTCTGTTTTGTACAGGTATTCGTCAAGTTGTGCAAACTGGAGATGCTACTCCGAAATTTCTGAAAAATGAACAAACATCATTTGCTATAAGCAACCCTTATGCTCTTTCTGTAACCAGTGGTTCAGTAACAGGCTGCCTTACATCGTTATATTCTATAAGTAAGTTGCTACTACCTCATTACGGTCTATACCGTTAAACTTATCGATTCTCTCCGATCTAAACATACACTAGTGACACAGTATAGTCTATGTCCACCATTTTTAGCATAAAAGAGTTTAAGATCCACGATCTTCACGCGAAACAACCGCATAATATATGAATAACGTGTTGTCCCATGTAGGGTGTCCTCAACAGCGTTGTCAAGGCCCACACAGACCGGACGCGTTTGGCAACGCGACGCGAATTTTCAGTTTTCAATGACATTTAACTTTAATATTTTTCAATGTTTTTTCTGATATTCGGAACCACTTAAGCAATTTTAGCTATTTGGTCTGCATATCTTGTAAAATTTTTATCCGTTGACGGTTTTTTGTTTGTTTTCGTTTTTGAAAACTGAAAATTCGCGTCGCGTTGCCGAATCGCGTCCCGTCCGTGTGGGCCTTCATTCTCAACACAAGCATAATCAAAGTCTTTCGAGCAACGATCACGTCTTTCCAACATATACAGTAGCAATCACTGCATCGTTGAAAAGCTTCAAACATTTCTTACAGTAATTAATCAAATTGCTTTAATAACGCTGATTCTTGAGCTGAAATTCAGACTGCATCGTAGAGTTTTCCACGGCGTAGATTTTAAACTCTCCAGGGGTCAGAGAGAAATATTAGAATAACTGAGCTCTTACATGGTCTCGTGAATAGACTAGTTGGAGTTTGGATTTCACATCCAAGTGGAGTGTTTGAGTCGGGATAAAATGGGATTTCAATCTAGGACATAAAAGTCCCCTCGCCCACCGATAGAAACTGACGTCACCATATGTGATGAAAGTGTTAAAATATACTTGTGCAGTTTTGTATATGTGTGGATGAAAATGCGATGATTGTAAGTCCCAGATTAGTCCTTTTAATGTAGATTCAGGATAGAGATTTTGAACTAGAAGTGCTGTGCACCAAAATTATGGATTTCTTCGCACAAAAGGTTTTTTAAGGAATTGTTGCATCACAATTTATTTTTATTCACACATACACAAGGCTGCCCAAGTACGCACTTCCTTTACTTATGGTGGCAAAGAACTGGGTGCCACCAATAGAAGATTCCCCTTATTACGTTTTCGTAGCGCTTTGCATTGTGGTTATAGTGGTATCACTGATAAAGATAGCGGCCTCGAATGAAAATATTGAATGTTTTCGCGAATATTTTGCTTTTGGCTATCGTGCACCTGACCCTAGCTTTTTTAAATGTTCTTGCACGGGTCCGGACAAAAAATAAGCCATCTTGAATATCAGTGATACCACTATAACCACAATGCAAAGCGCTACGAAAACGTAATAAGGGGAATCATCTATTTATGGGAGGTGCTAATGTTTTGGTCACCCCCTGTAGTTTGAACTGGAAGATTTAATTGATGCGTATCACTCATCCATTTCAGTTTTACCTCATTATTTGTATTTCAGAGAGAAGCCTTAAATCAACTGTACTGTTTGCAATGACTGGATGTGTTCTTGGAGTTTCTGGTAAGGTTATATTGACTTTGAGTCGTTAATACTACATGATTATATAATTCACGGAACGTTTGAGGGAAGGATCGATTAATCATAATCATTTCACTTGATTCAATTCCAACACTCCAATTCCCTTATTTATATCTTCGAAATACGGTAATTTGGCTAGGTGTGAGCTACGGGGGCAATGGACCTTATTGCATAATGATGTCCACAAGGCGTGATGCGCGTGGGCGTTTCTGGTCCTAGGCCCTGTTCATATGGGCAAAAGTTATCCCGGTTAGCGAGGTACTAGCCAAATCGACTAGCCAAATACTGTTGTTCTGTTCATATGGAGAAACGTTATCTCGCTTACTGGGTAAAGTTTCCGGCTGTGACGTAGCACTGAACATCAACTGAACTGAAAAGTTGCTGACACGACAGAAAGTTATCACGCTAAGCGGGAAAGTTGTGTTCATATGGGAAAAACATTGTCCCGAGATCTCGCCTGTCAACAAGCGAGATCTCGGTACAATGCAAAACTTTTCGTCTCATTTCAACGCATTGTAACTTTTCATATTATTTTCATAACAAGGCGAGATCTCGCCTGTAATCTTGTCGAAATGTTTTCTCGCTAACCAGGATAACTTTTGCCCATATGAACGGCCCTTAGTCATGGCGGGAAACAATCCAACATGGCCACTGTCGTATTGAGTGTGCTGCTGTTCTTTGTCGTCTTTTAGAGGCTGTCCAGGCCATAGATATCTTATATACACTAGATAGCGCAAATTTAGTAAAATTGAAGCCAAGAATATTCCAGCGGTTACCCCAATTTGAATAGATGACGGCCATGTTGGTAGTTTCCACTCTAACTTTCATCATTTGAATAGTTTAAACATAGGTCCGCTGTGGCGGACATGCATCTACTGAATTAAATAGCAGCACTGGGAAATAAAAGGCATTGAGCAGATAAAAGCATAGATGTGCAATCTGACCTTTGGAATCGATTTCTGGCATTTCCAGAGTCATAGCACAGGCACAACGTGACAAACGTCGGCACTGTTGACGTTTTAAAATTGTATTTCCGGTTGGGATTGCTATAGTTTATTGTTGTTGTTAGCTCACAGTCGGGCCAGAAATCGGAAATTGTTATATACCGTGATAAAACTAAAAGATACAAATTTGAGGATACAATCTCGAAAATATAAACACTCCACACAGTAGTTAGTAGTAATATAGGTACCATTCAACCCCCTTTTGCAGGGGGCCGCAAGGGGGCCGCATTATTATATATGCAGGTAATTACTATGCAAGGGGGCCGCACATTATATATGCAGGTAATTACTATGCAAGGGGGCGGCGCATCATTATATGTGCAGGTAATTAAGGGGGCCGCACAAATGAGGGTGCGTAATGACGTCACTCATTAGCATACGTCATAATTATATGCTATGACGTCACGCGGGCCTGTCCGGGCGAAATTGGACAAAATTTGCTGACTAAGCATTTTTTAGCGTCCCTCCTCGTGTATCATACAATGGAGGGATTAATGGTCATGGAGTGTCTACACGGTAAAACCACATCTTACAATTTATTGGAAGGAATATTTGCGAATGCAGTCGCACAAGAAGTTGAAAGACTTTGTGTGGAATCCTGTAATGGTTGTCAAGTCGGTCATCCTAGTCAAAGACAACATGACTGCCTCATGATGAACGAAAACGAACGATGGCAAATGTATGGTTTACAAGCGATCGAACGAGTGAATGGTAAGCGTATGGTTTGGAATGAATTCGCTGAGGCAATGAGGGTACTAAAACTGGCGGTTGATAGAGATGTACTCGAACATTTACAGCAACTGGAAAAAGATCCAGATTCTACGTTTGTCGATTCATTGATGGAACTACATCAGAACACTGAGAACCACGAACTACAATGTATACTGAACTATTTGTTTCATTGGAGATTAGAAGACCCACTCGAGTCCGTAGCTGAAGCGTTTTTCTCTTACCCACCGAGTTACATGTATTATGTGAAGGCGACGGGTGAACGATTTAGAAGTTTTGAGGCAGATCATAAGAAAGCTTATCAAGAACTCATGGAGAAAAAACTTATAGAACAGTTTAACAAATAGTTTTAGTTGTAATATTTTTGACACTATCGTCTGTTATTTGTATCAATAAACATGTTTTATACTTTGCAAATGTTGCGTTGTTATGCGTTGCTAAGTCATTAGGAGGCGTGTAGGTAATTAAGGGGATTAAGGCAATACGAATTTGCATAACTAAGTGTATCCCGATGGATAGATAGGGATTATTTTTAACGCAGGTGTATACCTTAAAATCAGGCGCGTGGCTTTGCGGGTGCATGCATATATTAACGTACAACATATTTGTACACTAATCAGGCGGGCGGATCGCGCGGGCGGAAAGAGCGGGCTTTGCCGGCAAAAATTACACAATATTTCAGTTTTTAAATTTATTTCTTCAAAACGTTTTACAAAGTTATGCTTCTAATATTTATCGTCACTTGTTTCAGGGTTTTCGCTATCAGATTCTTCATCATAGCTGCTTTCATCATCGTGGCTGCTTTCATCTTCCGTAATCCATTTGGTATGTCCTGGGACTGTTATATGAGAACACAGTTTTAACCTCTTTGTAGTTGATAAATTACTGCGTTGGCCCTGCCTTCTCTTGCTTCCGCGCCCTGCTTGTTGTAGTAGGGCTTTTGCTCCTTGTTCGGCAAAGTCTTTAACAACGTCACCTCCGTGAGTCTTTACAGATTCTCTTACATTTTTTCCTTGGAGTATATCTTGACCCACTTCTGTGGCTGCTTGTAATGCTCTTTTGCCAACAACTTTAGCACCTTGTTTGAATAGAGGAATAGCATATCTCGCAAGGCTCTTGAAAATACCTCCGATCCCGTATCCTCTTTGAAAACGTGCACCATTAAACCCAGCGATGTTTCCGCCACGCTGCTGTCTCAAGAAATGGTCTCTCAGTAGTTTTTCGTCTACAACAAGTGTACCTCTCGGCATGTTGATGTGTTCAGTTCAACTTCACGCCGTCAACTAATCAAATATCACTTGGGTCGCCTATTTTATGGTTAAAAGATTGTCTTTTATCCGTTCTGATATCTATAATTTCGCCCCGACGACAATGTGGACAGCTGGCGATTACATGCGTAAAATCTCCTTTGGACACTTGAAAATCACAGATCATACAGCGACAGCTTTTACAATTCGGATAAAAATCTGTCCATGTGCATACGGGGCACGTACTCAAATGGGAGATGTATATATCTTTGTTGCAACTGTTACAAGTTGCGTCAGCATCAGATTGTGTATCCTGATGGGACCACTTGTGGGCTAACACAGAAAGGACATGTCCATTTACGATTAGACTTTTATCAATTTCCAATTCTGCAAGACCTTTTATAAAAATGCTCAATCCAGTTGGTTCGGGAATATCTGGATGATAAGGCGTCACGCAATATTTCAGAAGGTCTACAATGTCAGTGTCTCGTATATTATGGCCTCTGTAAACGATTTCTCCTTTTCCATTCCAGTTCAAAATCCCCGTAGAGGTTAAAATAGAATGAAGGATTTCTTCGGCTTCGTGTTCATCATCAACGTCAAGATATTTGAGAATGTCTTCAAGTCTCCACTGTTCGGGAGATGCTCGTTTGTCACTATCCATGATTGGAATGAGGAGATGCCCTTCATGCTTATTATTTTATACTAATTCTGCAAGGCCTTCTAAAAGTGGTCCAAGTACCAATCCCAGAAAGCCGCTTCCCCGCTGAACAAGAATTTCCTTTTTCGTTCTAAAACTTCTACTTCTGTTCGCCAAATCAGCTAGATCTTGTTTGAAAGGTTTGAGTTTGTCCTTTATTTCTTTAGGATATGTGAAATTTTCTATACAATGACACAAGCATCGAATTTGCTCAGCTGATGCAGAATTAAGAAGAGCTTGCTGTTGAGTCGGATGAGAAGTACATAAGAGCTCTACAAAAGGCCTGTACACATCAAAGTACGTCATCTCTCTTCAAGAGTTGGAGCTTAAATGGTTCACTTACTCGAGGAACATGATTTTAAAAACGTTTTTGCGAATATAGATTGAATCATTGAATGAATCATTGAATCCCAGATTGAATCATTGAATGAATAATTGAATCCCAGATTGAATCATTGAATGAATCATTGAATCCCAGATTGAATCATTGAATGAATCATTGAATCCCAGATTGAATCATTGAATGAATCATTGAATCACTGATTGAATCCTAGATTGAATCATTGAATCATTGAGTGAATCATTGAATCATTGAATGAATCATTGAATCCCAGATTGAATCATTGAATGAATCATTGAATCATAGATTGAATCATTGAATGAATCATTGAATCCTA